ACAGAAAACAGTTGATTACTGCCCTCTTTGTAACAGCTCTTAACATATTTGAAGATTGTTATATCGCCCCCTCCCCAATCTTTTCTCAAACTAAACATGCCCAGTTTTTTAGTCTTTCCTCATAGCTCAGGTTTTCTAAAGCTTTAATAGTTTTTTTGCTCCCCTCTAGACTCCCTCCAGTTTTCTTAAAGTGTGGCACTTGAAATTGGCACAGTGTTGCAGCTGAGGCCTTGTTTGTGCTGAGTAGAGAGGAACAGTTACCTCACGTGTCTTACATACAGTACTCCTGTTAATACATCTTAGAATATTAGCCTTGTTCACAGCTGCATTACATTGTTGACTCATCAATTTGTGATCCACTATAACCTCTAGATCCTTTGCAGCAGTCCCCTGCCTGGCTAGACAGTTATTCCCCATTTTGTTTTTGTACATTTGATTTTTCCTTCCTAAGTGTAGTACTTTGCACTTCTCTTTATTGAATTTCATCTTGTTGGTTTCAGAGCAATTCTCCAATTTGTCAAGGTCATTTTGAATTCTAATCCTGTCCTCCAAAGTGCTTGCAACCCCTCCCTGCTTGGTGTCATCTATAAATTGTATAAGCATATTCTCCAAGTCATTAATGAAAATACTAAATAGTACCAGACCCAGGAGATACCCCAGCAGGACCCCCTATAAACATCCCCCCAGTTTGACCATGAACCATTGATAACTTCTCTTTGAGTCCAGTCTTTCAACCAGTTTTCACCCACCTTATAGTAGTTTTATCTAGATCACATTTCCCTAGTTCACTTATGAGAATGTCATGTGTCTGTGTCGTGTCAAATGCCTTAATAAAATCAAGATATATTATGTCCAGTAGGCCAGTAATCCTGTCAAAGATGGAAGATAGTTTGATTTGGCATGATTTGTTCTTGGCAAATCCATGTTGGCTATCTGACCACCCTCTTTTCCCTTAGGTGATTACAAATTGATTGTTAATTTGTTCCAGTATCTTTCTGGGTATCAGAATTAGGCTGACTGATCTATAGTTCGCCAAGTTCTTTTTGTTCCCCTTTTAAAAGATAGGTACTATGTTTACCCTTCTCCAGTCCTCTGTGACGTCACCCATCCTTTATGAATTCTCAAAGATAATGGCTAACGGTTCTGAGATTGCTTCAGCTAGTTCCTTAAGTATCCTAGGGTGAATTTCACAAGGCCCTGACAACTTGAATACATCCAACTTATCTAAATATTCTTTAACTTGTTCTTTCCCTATTTTGGATTGTGTTCCTTCCCCCTTGTTGTTAATATTAATTATGTTATCTGGTCACATTTTACCTTTTTAGTGAAGACTGAAGCAAAATAGGCATTAAACACCTCAGCCCTCTTGATGTCATCCATAAATAGCTCTCCTTTCCTCCTGGTCTTTCTCTTGCTCCTAATGTATTTATAGTACCTCTTCTTTATTTATTTTTATTTATATTTATTTTCTTATTGCCTTTTATGTCCTTTGTTGGGTATAACTCATTTTGTGCCTTAGTCTTTCTAACTTTGTTCCTACATGCTTGTGCTATTCTTTCGTACTCATACAAATACTTGTACCATATACAGTCAGTTGCCCATTCTGGTAAGTATTTAGGATCCATTCATTCAGTCAGAGCCCTGGTGGCTTCTGAGGTATTTTTTTTCTAACTCCCTGTATGTGAGTTGTTAGATTTTGTAGAACTGCAAGACTAACATTGACCTTTCTCCACTCCTCACCATCTCCATCCATCCCTGAGAAGTCACTACTTCACAGTTCTCCAAAGGATGCTATTTTGTGGACAGAATCCCAAACTGGAATAAGTAGGTTTTATTTACCAATAACTGGTATTCTCCTTTGGATGCATCTATCTATTTTCAAATGCCTACTATTCTCTGATCACATGCCAAGTGAGGGAAGGACCTGCATTATACAGACATGTGGGTAAAGCGGGTCAATAGACAACAATTCATGTTAATGACTTGAATATTTTCTAATGCCAGGGTCTATGGGGAATTATGTGCTGTACACATAAATCTCTAAATACCATGGAACACTGAAGATGACGGTCCACTTGGAGAATTCCACTCGCAGCATAGTAACCCAGGTTTTTCTCTTATTAAAAGTGCATGTTTCTTTTAACCTAGAACTGAAGAACTTCTTTTCACATTCTCAACTCTTGTTCTTCTTTTCTTGAGTGAGCAAATCATTTGAAGCCCCGTTTATGAAGTAGAGATGGTTCAGTTGTGTGACTTCAAAAATGTTGCAACTCTATAGGGCAAAATATAAGACCCTGCAAAATCTATAAATTCCTGAATGTCCTTTTGTACTTGTCCCTAAGGATCATATCCTCTCAGTGCTTTAAAGGTTTATGGTTCTTAAATTTGAAATGTGTGTGTTGGTATAGATAATGCACACAGTAGCATTTTCCACTGAAAAGCCACTTTGGGGATTTGGACACCCAGTTCCCATTTAAAATTGAGAACTGTATGACCAAATCCTCTAGGAGACGTTTTGAACATCTCAGTCAAATGTAGCTATAGGTATTTCCTACCAGAATATTGAATTTAAATTACTCCAACTGGTATGGCAGCATTCCAGTGTCATTCATCTGCCAGTGATGACATACTAACCTTTGAATATCAATCTATGTCTAACCTAACATTGAGTGTTTTAAGTCACTGGAGACACATGCAGTGTTTAAAGTTAGTTTCTTTATGTGGAAAATTATTTTTGTTGGGGTAGCAAGTAGAATCGGTGAATAAGGCTGCAAGTGGTATAGTGATGTAATCAAAATTGAAATGAAATTTGTAGAGTACTCAATTTTCTCTGTGAACATGTTCAATCCTAGTGCTGCTTTCTCTCATAAATTTAGATCTAAAAAAATCCCTTAGCTCTGGAGTGCATGGTCCATTCAGAATTCGGTTTGGTGTGATTCCATCATGTTAACATGAGCTTGATCTAAAGAAACCTTACTTTAAACCACAGCAGTTATGAATTTGCTATTGGCAGGTTTACCTGTCACCTAAGGATCTAGAGAAAGAAAGAAATCTGGATCTCTCTACCTATGTCTAACCTGGTCATTAAAATTAATTTAATCAAAATCATGTCCCTGATAGTGTGGTCACTCTCAGTACATTAAGATTTTCTAGGGAAAAAGACTATGAAAATTTGTCAGCATTTAATAAAGAGAAAGGTCCATATGATACTCTATAGAAAAATAATATTGAACATATTTGTGTTCCAATATGAAAACCTCTCTCCTTTCATATCATTATTATGTTTCTGGATGTCATTCTTTGTTTTATGAGTGTGGGGGATGTGAATGGGTAAAGCACTAAATTTATCTTCTGGACTCCTCTGTTCAAATCTTGATTTAGGTCATAAATGAAAATGAGTTTGGTGGCCTCTTCAATCCCTACATTGGTCAGTATCACAAAAGTTACCAGAGTTAGGCACATTTGTCAATGGTTGCTAAGATGTGGCCTGGGACTGTAATAGCAGAGGCTCTACAAGTCAAAATAGAGGTGTAATGTCAGATCTGTGTGAGAAAGCTTAGCATGAGATCTAGCTCTGCACTGTTGTGCTAGTTGCATACTGTATTTTCATGATACTGCATACACATTTTCATGACTACCAAATGAACTCCATTTATACACACACACACACACTTATTTGTTTTTAATTAACACATTTCTTATTCAGACACTTTTTGAATTCACAGTGTAGGCAGGCCAAGGTATTGTGTTCATAATAAACTCATTTTTTTTATTCTTAACTTTACATAGTGCGTTTTGTTTTTTTTTAATTGTTGTTAGCTTTCTAGTCTGAGCACATTTCTATCATGAATGTTCTTAATGAGAATATATATGTTCAGCAGTCTTGGATTTTGTACTTCACATGTACAGTTTCAGGAGGTGGGACACATGAGGCAGTTGATGTACATATGTTAGTACTATTTATAGAGCATCTAACTGATAGTACCTTCTGATATCAAATAAAAAGTTCCTAATGCAAAAATCCTTCTAGATCTCAAGGGGAGCTTTATAGAGGATACAGAATCAGCTACAAGGAGTTTTTCTTTTTTTTTTTACCAAGCAATCAGGTTTTCTATTACTATAAGAATTTGTTTTTAATTAGTAAGATGATATACTATATTGGGAAAATTTACCCTGCATATCTGTACAGCAGTATATGACTCAAGTATTCTGCTTTCCCTATGGGCATGGATATCCCATTATTATTTGATATAAATTATATGCACAAAAGGAGAGCAGAATATTAACTTTGAATACTACCATCCCAGTATGAGAGGAGAATTTTGCCCTATATGCTAAGAAAGTAAAGATTTGAGATTTTGCAATACTTTACAATACCTAAGAATATAAGAACACCCATACTGGGTCAGCCCAAAGGTCCATCTAGCCCAGTATCCTGTCTTCCGACAGTGGCCAATGCCAGGAGCCCCAGAGGGAATGAACAGAACAGGTAATCATCAAGTGTTCCATTCCCTGTCACCCATTCACAATTTCTGGCAAACAGAGGCTAGGCAGGAGCACCGCCAGCTTTTCTGCCGCCCAAGGCAGCGGAAGGTCCCGCCCCGAAATGCCACCCCCCACAGAGGCGGCGGACGGTCCCGCCGCCGAAATACCGCCGCAGTCGCCGCCCCCCCAAATGGTAGTGCCCTAGGCGACCACCTAGGTCACCTAATGGGTTGCGCCAGCCCTGAGGCTAGGGATACCATCCCTGCCCATCCTGGCTAACAGCCATTGATGGACCTGTTCTCCATGAACTTATCTAGTTCTTTTTTTAACTAGAAGATACGGTAGAAATATATTCATTACTTTTCACTCTTAAGTACAGAGTCTGTCTGCATATGGTTTCCATTACATGTTTTACTACTTTTTCTTTCCCCTGTAGAATGTGTCTTATGAAATTTTGAATGTTTGCTTAAAATTCTGTTTATATATATTTTTGAAATGCTTGCTTTCACATTTAGATATGATGAATGGATAAAAGCAGACAAGATAGTGAGACCAGCTGATAAAAATGTGCCAAAAATAAAGCATCGGAAGAAAATAAAGGTAGATTTTTTTCTATTAGATCATTTTGCTGCTTAATTTACTTTCATATAGACTGATTTTATAATTATAGCCTTTAAATGGACTTGGAAATTCGTGATAAATTTAAATTAGTTTCTGTTAACCTCTTAGAAGCATACACTTTTTTAAGCATGATTTTTTCCTTCCCTTTTGAAAGATAGCTTTTTCCTCCTCCTCTTCCCCCCGCACTCCCAGTTCGTCTGGTGCACCAACAGGAAACAGAGCCATTCCCTCATCAGCGATGGCAGCACAGCACCAGGAAATAAAATTTGCTAGCTACCCTGCTGGCTTTGAAGCACAAACCTGTGTCGAATCTACATAAATGTGGCTTGTATCTTGCTTTTAACTTCTTGCCAACTGTGGTAGATTTAAAAAAAAAACACAGATATTTTGGGCCAGATCCTGGTCAATTCCTTGTGCGGGGCAGAAGGGTGTGAACAACCTTTTCCCCCGCACCAACAGGCTCCATGGCCATCCCTGCACTGTGAACACAAGGACTACTAGAATCCAGTGCCTCTGATAGAGCCAGACTTGCCTATAGCCTCTCCTCCTTCCTCATTAGCACAGCACAAGGGTGTGCCATTCAATCCAGGCTGTCACAACAGTCATGCCTTCTCTCTGCAATATCCCTTACTGCAGGGTCTAGCATAGTGGAAGAACGGTTTAGCCCTTAAATGCTGAGAATATTCCTCATCAGATATAAGTGTTAAGGAATTCACATTTTTGGTGTTAATTCTTGTGCATAAGACAAAATACAGTACTTGCATATTCTTGTAATGGAACAAAGAAAAGCTTATTCTTAGGTTTTGTGTTCAAAATCACTGTCTGCATTGCTAATTGTAATTCACCTTAAATTATATGTTAGCATTAGAAGAGTTTTTAAAATGGTTTTTTCCTTAACCTAGAATAAAACTGACAAAGAGAAGGATGAGAAGTATTCTCCTAAAAATTGTAAATTGCGACGCTTGTCAAAACCACCCTTTCACACGAGCACATCACCAGAGACTGAGTCCAAACTTGACAGCACTGAAGCCAAAAACTCTGAACAAGCTCCAGTTAAATCCATAGAAATTACTTCTATCCTTAATGGGCTACAAGGTATTGTACATGGACTTTCTAATTCAGTATGTAATCATTTTACTAGTATTTAAAAGTGACAGTACAGAGCAATTGAAGCAAACTATAAATAAGGCTGCGAGTTTGTCATGGAGGTCACGGATTCCATGACTTTCTGGGAGTTCTGCAGCAGCTGGCCCAGTGGCCACATGAGCAGCTCGGGTGGCCCCCAGGCCAGCCACACCGGCCACTGCTGGGGCAGTCTCAGGCCACCGTGCCCCTCCCCCCCCAGCAGCAGCAGGAGTTTGGGTTTGGGAGGGGGCTCAGGGCAGAGGCAGGGGGTTGAGGTGCAGGAGGGGGAGAGGGCTCTGGGCAGCGCTTATCTTGGGGGGACGAGGGGGCTGTCCAGCTCCCAGGCAGAAGTGCGGCCAGGTGGCTCCGCACGCTGCCTGTGTCCACAGGTGATGCCCCCGCAGCTCCCATTGGCTGTTGTTCCCAATCACTTGGGGCAGGGGCAGCATGCAGAGCCCCCCGAGCTGTGCCCTCCTCCCAGCACCACCAGGGGCCATGGGCCACCGCCCTCCCCCCAGCAGCAGCGGATCCCCTGGGCCGCCCCCTACCCTCCAGAGCATGCACATTTTAGTTAGGGGTATATAGTACAAGTCATGGACAGGTCACGGGCCGTGAATTTTTGTTTACTGCCTGTGACCAGTCCAGAACTTTTACTTAATATACCCGTGACTAAAACATAGCCATAACTATACATTCAAACTTGTGGAAGAGGAAGTTTCCTTCAGAGCATTAGGAGATTATTATTATAAATTCAGAGTCTGTCTCTCTCTTTGCATGTCTTTTTATTTATAAATTGTTTTATATATATATTGCACATAAATAGCACATTTTTGTCTAAAGTGCTAAAAACATACACAAACTTTCTGAATAGATATTCTGGATTCAGATGATTTCTGTAATCTTAAAAATAATCAGTTCACTTGTAAAATAATACTTTGAAAAGTTTTTCTGCTGTGTTTTCTCCTTTTTGTGTTTGACAAAGTATCTTTGGCTGTTCTTTTTAGAAATAACAAAATGAAAAATTATAAAATTATACAGGAAACTAATTCTACCAGTATAAAAAAATATTTAGGAGCCGTGATAGTGACATCATTAGTGACTCCGCAGTTAGTTATAATTGGCTTTTAAAAGCCAATTTGACATGTACACAAGTACTTTCTCAAAATAGGTGCTTTCATCTGAAATCTCTTAACTTTTTTGAAAATCTTTAAAAATAGTGCATCAGATTTTCATGTGGTTGTAAATCTGCATAGCTCCATTGCAGTTGATATAACTATACCGATTTACACCAGCTGAGGATCCACCCCCGAGTTGCAAAAACATCATAGCCTAGAAACTCCATGTTTGTTTCATTCAGTTTTCCTTGGTAATTAGTGCCTTAAGTATTTTTAGGATATTTGGGTGGTTTTATAAAGTTTTGGAGCTGTTCACTTCAAGCTTTTCAAAACGGTCAGGTTCCTGTAGAGTTTATGAACTTGGATGGTTGACTCTTTCAGATGACAATATTAATCTAAGCTTTCATTTAAAGGTGACATAGAAAGGAAAAGTGGATTACTGCTATTATTTATGATGTATAAAAAAGACCTGAAAGAGGTGTGGAGATTTTTTTCTGCTGGAGCTTTAGATTAGAAATTCAGGTCCTGTCTACATTGAAAGACTCTGTGGAGAACTAGCAGGATTATGACAGCACAAGTACTAAAAGTGAAATCTGATTAATTGAGGGAAAGAGTGTTTTTTAGTTACACAGTCTAAAACAATGTTTTAATACCTATTTAACTAAAGTACTGGGAGAAAAGTTATTTTAGAATTCAATATCTTAACCCTTCATTTAAAATCTGAGAAAGTTCCCAATATACATTTTGCAGTCATCCAAGAAGGCTTCTTGCCGAAAAAAGAATGGAAGTGTGACAAGCAGAGAAAAAACAACTTTGAAAGATAAACAAAATCCACAAACCTTTCACACCTCCATCATAAAGAAGAAAAATACACATATATGTAGTTCGCTGTAGGCTAGTGGGCAGATTCACCAGCCAGGCAGTCCAAACAAAGCCCAAACCCCTCATGTTCAGTTTCCCATCCCTTTCATCTGAGCAGGTTCTCTGATAAACAGAAGATGCAAAACTTTTCAAAACAATACAAAACACTTGGTAACTGAGATCTTCCTGCAGGTGAGAAGTGGGTGGACACATCTTTTCTCAAAGCCTTCTCTTTCCCAGCTACTGTGGAGACACCCACACTAGGACTTCCCTGACACTGAGTTTCTCTAGTCTGCTATCCCCGCCTAAGAGACAGGAAGTTATATACCTGGTTTCCTGTGGGTCACATGCTTGCACCTAGCCATGTGCCTGGAGACTACAGCTCCCATTTGTAAAGGGTCCTAGGATGCTAAAAGGCGCACTAGGACATGTACATCTGCCTCACGGCCAACTGGTTTGTTAGGGTACTTCTACACATCAATAAAAGACCTGCAGCAGTGAGTCTCATAGCCCAGTGAAATTACTTGGACTCGTGCTGCGGGGCTTTAAATAGCAATATAGATGTTTGGGCAGTGGGCTCAGGCCAGAGCCTGGGCTCAAGCCAGAGCCCGGGCTCTGAGATTTTTTTCCCCTCGCCAGGTTTCAGAGTTCAGGCTCCAGCCCAAGCAGGAACATCTACACTGCTATTTTTAGCCTTAGTCACTTTTAAAAAAAAAGTCAAGTCTGTATCCTGAGTCACCTAAAAAACCCTTCCAAAAACACACACCACAAGCTTCCAGCCTCATTGTGAAGATAGTCTTCAAAATGTAAACTAATGGCTGTGCTTGAAAATTTTTGTGAAATGTTTATTAATAAATAGTCTTCAAAGCTTTGAACCTCTATCCTCTCCAACATGAGCAAAAGTTTCAAGCCCTAATTTTGGAGCAATATTTTGCCCAGTTTAAAATTAAAAAAAAAAAAAGTTGCAAAATAGCACAAAATAATGAAGTCTTAAAAACAAACAAAAACACCCTCAGCTCTTTGTGTTGTTGGAGCTTGTAGGTGACTGAATCAAAGTAAACTTTTTTTTTTTTAAACTGGGCTGCGATATGAATGTTTTCAGCCAAAAGTGAATATGTGTTGCCTTGAAAACTAGCAACGGGGATGAAAGCCTAGTCCCATTGAAGTCATTGACTTCAATGGGGCTATGATTTTGCCCTCTGTTTTGAACATAAAACTTGGTACAATTTTTAATTTAGATGATGCTAGCTACAGCTCAAGTATACTAGTAAAAAGTGAGCTTTATTTTGTAAGGTGTGGACATAGAATGCGTGAGACTGCAAACCCAGATTTCAGACATATTAAGGTTTTTAGAAGTGAGCTTCAGATGGTAGTGTTCCTCAAGTAATAATAATAGCATAAATCATTAACAGTTAGAGATGATAAACCTAGCTGGAATTTAAAAGTCGTATGCAATTAGAAAAATGTTGTAGTCTTTTCTTCTATACATCTATATTTTTCAGGTTTGGAAGTAGGGCAAATAGCATTTGTAAATTGTAACTATTAGTTAATATTAAAGATTTAGTGCATTTAAAGTCTAATATTAAACATTCTTTTGGGCTGTCATGTCCATTTGTGTTATATAGAAGATTCATATATGTGTGGATTAATAAAACAGAGTTTTATTTAGACTTGAATCTGTCACTTCATGCTTTCTCTGGTTCTTCAAAAAAGTATGCAAATACCTTAGAGGAATTCCGTGGAGATGTTTTATTATATGGGATTTGCAAACTGACAAGCATTGCTGCTTATCTAGCTATTACACTTCCTAATAAAATGAAGTTTTTAAAAATCTGTTGTTTTTTTCCTACTGGGTACATGAAAACAAAGGATTTTAATAGTACTAGCTTTAGTGTGTATTGCTATCTGTTTATCTATAATATGTTTGTTTATTAGTTGTTTTTTTAGTATTACTTGTAACAGATTTTTTTTTAATAGCTTCAGAAAGTTCTGCTGACGATAGTGACCAGGAAGATGACCAAAGTGCCCAAAATGTACATAATGATGGCAAGGAGGAATCTCCAGATGAGACTGTGAGCCAAGACAAAAATGAACTCTGTCCAAAAGAAGAGCAGAGCAGCTCATCTCCCCAAGAAGAGGGGAAAGCCCTTGCAGACGTAGCACCACCTAAATCAGTATCCAAATCACCAGAAAGATTGCGGAAAGAGCTGGAAGAATTATCTGATGATACGGACTATGAAGGAGAGGATGAAGCTACAAAGAAGAGAAAGGAGGTCAAAAAGGAGGTAGTAGATAAAACAACAAAGTCACAGGTAAAACGTGGTAAGCGAAGGTATTGCATCACAGAGGAATGTGTAAAGACTGGGTCACCTAATAGAAAGGATGAAAAGTCCAAGAGCAAAGACTCACATAGCTTAGAACATAGTAGTAACAGCTCCTCAGATGAAGATGAGGAGGACAAATCTAAACTAAAAATAACACCAACTAAGAAATACAATGGGATAGAGGAGAAAAGGAAGTCTTTAAGGACAAGTGGTTTCTACTCAGGGTTTTCTGAAGTGGCAGAAAAAAGAATAAAGCTTCTAAATAACTCTGATGAAAGACTTCAGAATACCAGAGCTAAGGATAGAAAAGATGTATGGTCCAGTATTCAGGGACAGTGGCCCAAGAAAACATTGAAAGAACTTTTTTCAGACTCTGACACAGAGGCTGCAGCCTCACCCCCACATGCTTCTGAGGATCCTGCAGTAGAGGAGCAGCTGCAGACTCTTGCAGAAGAGGTTTCTTTGCCCAGCTCTGAACTAGAAAAGCCTTTACTAGCCAGCATAGATGTTAAACCTGTTGAGGAGAAACCAACGGAAATGAGTGACAAGAAAGTTGAATTTCCAAGCAGTGGGAGTAATTCAGTGCTAAATACTCCTCCTACAACCCCTGAATCACCTTCATCTGTCACTGTAACAGATTCTAGTAGACATCAGTCCAGTGTAACAGTCTCAGAGACATTGGCACCAAATCAAGAAGAGATACGAAGCATCAAGAGTGAAACTGATAGCACAATTGAAGTGGATAGTGTTGTGGGGGAGCTGCAGGATCTTCAGTCTGAAGGAAATATTTCTCCAACAGGCTTTGATGCCAGCGTCAGCTCTAGCAGTAGTAATCAACAAGAACCAGAACATACTGAAAAAGGTAAGGAGAAAACCTGAGTTGCCGAACATATATTCCTCCTCTCATTTCTTATAATGCTAATTTATTTGTGTTTAACTGTTGCTACGTTACTTGGAGATTGGTTTAAGAATATAAGAATGGCCCTACTGGGTCAGACCAAAGGTCTATCTAGCCCAGTCCTGTCTTCTGACAGTGGCCAGTGCCAGGTGCCCTAGAGGGAATGAACAGAACAGGTAATCATCAAGTGATCCATCCCCTGTTGCTCATTCCCAGCTTCTGGCAAACAGAGGCTAGGAACACCATTCCTCCCCATCCTGGCTAATAGCCATTGATGGACCTATCCTCCATGAATTTATCTAGTTCTTTTTTGAACCCTGTTATGGTCTTGGCCTTCACAACATCCTCTGGCAAAGAGTTCCACAGGTTGACTGTGCGTTGTGTGAAGAAATACTTCCTTTTATTTGTTTTAAACCTGCTGACTATTAATTTCTTTTGGTGAGCCCTAGTTCTTGTGTTATGAGAAGTAGTAAACAACACTTCCTTATCTACTTTCTCTATACCAGTCATGATTTTATAGACCTCAATCATATCTCCCCTTAGCCATCTCTTTTCCAAGCTGAAAAGTTCCAGTTTTATTAATCTCTCCTCATACGGAAGCCGTTCCATATCCTTAATTATTTTTTTGCCCTTTTCTGAACCTTTTCCAATTCCAATATATCTTTTTTTGAGATGGAGCGACCACATCTGCACGTATTCAAGATGTGAGCATACCATGGATTTATATAGAGGCAACATGATATTTTCTGTCCTATTATCTATCCCTTTCTTAATTATTCCCAGCATTCTTTTCGCTTTTTTGACTGCCGCTGCACATTGAGTGGATGTTTTCAGAGAACTATCCACAATGACTCCAAGATCTCTTTCTTGAGTGGTAACAGCTAATTTAGACCCCATCATTTTATATGAAAAGTTGGGATTATGCTTTCCAGTGTGCATTAGTTTGCATTTATCAACATTAAATTTCATCTGCCATTTTGTTGCCCAGTCACCCAGTTTTGAGAGATCCTTTTGTAGCTCTTCGCAGTTTGACACTCTTAGAGGAAGCAATAGCCTGCTGTGCCTTTTTAAAACTATGAAAATAGTACAGTAGAAAGGCCTGTAATCAATCAGTAAATATTTGACACTCCTTCAGGAAGTGTTTCTTGTCCTTTTAGTCAGCAATCTAATATTTTAAAAATCACAAATACAACATAAGCTGTATCCTGGAGATTGCACCAGAACCCCAGACCAAACTGTAAAGCATTGTACACTTGATGTCTGTGTGTCATAAATTGTCTGGATACCTTTTATTATACTGTGTTTGAATATGCAATGTACAGTTTCTCATTAACATTTGTATTTACTGTGTGTTCATGGTTTGGAACAACTAGCTGTCCAGGATTGTTCCTCAGGCAACCATCTGAAACTGATTTTTAAGGTCTGACTAACTTGCGTGAGTTTTGTAAAGGAATTTGCTGCTCTCTTAGGCCCCAAACTGAAGAATCGTTATTCATATTTATTACTTAAAACAATCCACCTTGACCACAATTTTATTAATAGAATACATTTTCAAGGAACATCAGAATTCACAATTGTTATTCATACTCCATGAAGACTTAGATACTTTTATGTTGTATTTGTGATCCTATAGATATTTAGGAGCTTTTCCATATTAGACTGCCATTTTCAAATATCAACAAATCAGTTGAAGGCAATTGCTGTAGGCTTAAAATTATCATACAAGGTCTGCTGTGGAAGTAATTCAGAATTTTTAATGCCACTTTTAAGTGCTGAAAATAGAGGCTGGAATTTTTTCACTGACATAACTCAAAAATGGATTTTCATTTTCAAATTCAACCTGCAAAAATGTAAATCCCTACTAGGACTCCACAGTGGAGGAGGGGAAAGAAAAGGCCCAATCCTGCTAGCACTTGTGTACATGTATAAGTATTTGCAAGGTTGGGTCCTAAAGCTATTTTGTTAAATTCATTAGCTATATATTAGTCCAGTCATTTTTATTATAGTCTACCAAATATTTTTTAGTTTACATGGCTGCCTTTTGATACATGGACTAAAAGGAACACATTTGTTTTTAAGGACACACACAAAAATTCACATTCAGAAGTTTTGTTTTTATTGCTTTCTGTAAAATATGCAACTTAACCGTTCAAGTGTGCCATATTTTCTCCCATAGATAAGCATAATTACTATAATATGCATTAAAATTAATAAGCTAAAGAAAACAATTACAGAGATATGAACAGGATTCTGAAATTGCAATATAATTTTTTTTTCATCTTAGCAATTTGCAACTACCTTTAGGAGAAAAATGCTTAACTGAAAGTTTTCTCAATCGGCTGCTCTCAGAGCATTGTATCCTCTTTAGTTCTGCTCTTGTTATGCTTCTTCCAAGAGAATAATTAGGATTAGAGAAAGAAATTGATTTTTGGAGCCTGTGATAAAGTAAGTCTATACAACCCTCTCACACTTAATAATGGGTAGGTTGAAAACTTGCTGTTCAGCTTCCAGGTACTATGTATAAAAAAATGTGTACTGTGTGAAATCAAGGATGACTCCTTTCCTTTCAAGTTCTGTTTTGTTTTGTAATATCGGTCACACATTATCACTTTTTTATATATTCTGTTCTAAGCGCCTCTCCAATTTTTGTGGTCATGCTTCTCCATTTGTAAAATGCAAGGTGCCCATGTTTAAAAACAGGATTGAGCATGAGTCTGTAGTTTCTTAATTTTAAAATGATTTTGCTACAGGAGCCTATGGTATCTGTAAATCAGGCAGTTTCTGAGTCTTGTACAGTTCCCATTGGATTTATTTTTTTTTAAACCAGAGGTCCTAGAATATATTTCAGTTTTCCCTTCCTCTTCTAGTTTTATTCCCTATGGCCATAAATACCAGTAGTTCTTTCACTTTTTAAATCTGAGAAGCAGAGAGGTGGGGAAAAGGCAAAATGAAAGGCTGTTGGTACTTCAGAATTGTCTGCTAGACTTCAAAACACTTTCATTTCCACAGAAAACCATTCAAGCAGGTTTAATGCATAATGGCTTTATTTTTTTTTTCTTGAAATTAAGCTGTAACATGCTGTCCACGTCTAATTACACTGATGAAGAGTTTCTAGGTGTTTTTTTTTTTTTTTACTATAAAAGAACAAGAGTATGGTTGACATATGTTAATGGACTTTATTCACAGGATGGTGGGATCTTACTTTATTATGGTATTGCTGGATGCTTCTGATTCACCAGCCAGAGGGATTCCTAAATTTTAGAGTTCATACTTATCCCATCTCATCTGGGAAAAAAAAAACAAAAAACCAAAAAACCAACCCGATACTGTTGATTGGTGCCTTACATGTTCTATGAATGCACTCTGATAACGTTAAGTAACAGAGGGGTAGCCGTGTTAGTCTGAATCTGTAAAAAGCAACAGAGGGTCTTGTGGCACCTTTAAGACTAACAGAAGTATTGGACTTGTGTCAGATATCAGGAATGGCAACATACAAAAACCTGTAGGAGAACACTTCAACCTCCCTGGCCACACAATAGCAGATGTAAAGGTAGCCATCTTACAGCAAAAAAACTTCAGGACCAGACTCCAAAGAGAAACTGCTGAGCTCCAGTTCATTTGCAAATTTGACACCATCAGATCAGGATTAAACAAAGACTGTGAATGGCTATCCAACTACAGAAGCAGTTTCTCCTCCCTTGGTGTTCACACCTCAACTGCTAGCAGAGCACCTCACCCTCCCTGATTGAACTAAC